TTTGGGTGTTCACGTAGCATCTGTGCCTGTAATGTCCTGCAGCCAAAAGGAAAGGCAGGGCTGTCCTTGCTCTGAGCTGGCCAGCCCTCGTGTCTGGGGAGAGTGTGCTCCCTCAGCCTACCTGCTGCAAGGAGGCTCAGGAGGAAGGGCACACAGCTCTCACGCTCTGATGAGAAGGCTTTGCTTGCCACTTAAGCCGTACCTATTGCTGCTGCCACCTCGGTTTATGGACACGGGAGCACTAACACAGGGCTTCAAAGAGCCAGGCCCACTCAGCGCTGGCCCTGGTTGCAGAAACAGGAGTTGCTCGGATGGTTTCCAGACACCCCCTGTGAGTGCAGAGCTTGGAAGGAATGCCAGGCAAGTCATGCTGGCTGGCAGAGCTGTCGTGCACCTGAGCTCGGTGGGCTCACTGCAAATTCGGTCACAGCATCGCCTCGTCACCACCGCAGTCGGAGCCTGGAGGAGCCACGGGAGCCAAGGTTTCCTGCGGCTCTGGGGACACGGCATTGCTCGCCACCCCTGCAGCAAATGGACACGCTCGAGCATGGAAAGCTGCCACATCCTCAAGCCCCTTCCCACACAGTGTGCCTCCCCAGCTCAATTTAGGCACTTTATGGTTAGAGCTGCTCCAAAACACAGGTGGCTGCAGCCACGGGCAGGACACAGTGCTTGGCTGCTCTGTATTGGCATCTGATGCGCAGGGCAGGGGGCTGGGAAGGGACAAATAGAAAGGGAAGTTTGTCTGCTCCCCAAATGAAGTGCAGAAACAGCAACATAATTACCATCCACTCATTTCATGGCCCCAAAGCTGCAGCCACACTGCTGTTTTTAAAAAGAGGATGTAAATGGAAGCCCAATTCATGATTTATCACAGAAGGGAATTAGATCTACTCCTTAGTTATAATGGCTTATGTGCATTTTTCCTGACAGAGAAATAAAATGCACATCTATTCTCCAAGTCCTTGCACTGCAGGGTTCCTGGTGCACCTTCCCCCAGCTCCACTCCCTCCCTCCACCCAGCCTCCAACCATTTAGAAAAACTACAGGAGGGGGCCTTTTACTGCACTAATCATCCCTCATTTGTACTGGAAGTAGCTCATGGTCAGGGCTGCTTTACATCTTTACATCTTTACATGCTTTACTGAGACCAGGCTCCTCAGAAAATCAAGCAAAGCATGGTTTACTTTTCCCTGGTGCTGTTACCTTTCTGAATATTTGGAGCTGGATTCGTGTGCCCACTGCAACTACCATGTTTTAAAATTTTGGAATATGCTAATGTTTTACTTTTCAAAAGGAGAGGACTGCTACAAACCTAAGCCCCACCTGCAGCATAACCTGACACTGGCATAAAAGACAAGGTGTGGTGTAACCAACAGCTGAACACCAACTGGAAATGGTCCAACAATGACCATGGTGACGGTGCCCATCACGTGCACATGGACACTTTGTTCTTGCCCTCTGAAGGAACTGATTCCATGCACAAATCAGAAGAACAATCACCACAGAGGATTTCATAGTCAGAGAAACAAAGCAGGGATGTGAAGAGCCACAGGCCCATGGGGCAGGGCAGGGAGAAGCTGGAATTTCAACACTTTATGCATTGTTCCAGTTTCATCCCTGTAAAAGTGAGAAGGAGAGCTGGAAAAATGAGGGCCTGGCACTGCCCTCCAATTTTGGACACCTGACTTGCAGGACTACTCTACTCCACTGCTCAAAGGAGTTTTTCTGAAAACTTAACTTACTCCCTGCCTCATTACACTAATATTTATAAATATACTAGGTACCTCATAGGGGGTTACTGAGGCCTGGGGCACAGTAACCACAGTAATCACTCTCTGATTTCTGATCACATATTGGTACAATTTGACTGCCATTTTTACTGGCTCCTTTTTTTGTGCCAATCTTTCAATTTTATTTATTTATTTTTTTTTTTTTTAATTCTGTGCAGTTAAAGTAAAAAAAATAGTGGGTGGCAGATTGCCTAGAGAGGGATGAATTGGAGTATTGGTACTGCTGCAAGCCCATCGCAAGCATAAAACATGATACTGATTTTCTGCCTCCCAGAGGCTTTTTGACAGCTGATAGGGTTTGCTGGAGCAGTGCTTCAGTTTCTGTTTGAGATCACCCTTTCCCTTAAGAGATTCCTGCAGCAGCCCTTTGTGGTCCTGTACCCCTGCCTGATGCCTTGTGCTCATACACACATGACTTCCTCTTCAACACAGCCTTCACCACCAGCAAATCTTCTCGAGTGCTTTCTTCAAAAGTCTAACACGAAAAATAGCCAGAGCACTCTTCCAGTCTTTCCTATTAGTCATAGCTTCGAAATACCTAAGCAGTTTATTTTAAGCCACTCCTTCACCTAATTCCATGTCTCTAATCAAATTATCCTGCTGTTAGCTGTTCTCTCAGTAATCCTCAAAAAACTGTTTTCCAGCTAAGCTGATTTGTAACAAAGTCTACTCCAAAAGCCCCAGTGCTGGGGCCAGAGCTCTTGGCCCCTCTACCCTGACCCAGAGCTTGTAATGGCTTGAATGTTTCCTCCAGTGGTTGTTTTCCCTGAACCAGTCAAGATGATGCTACACTGCTCAATTGCTCCACAAGCAAAGCCCATTTCAGAGGATTTCAAAATCCATTTACAACAGTTCTTGGCTTCCTTATACATTCCAGAAAAAAAGGCATCAAATGAGATGAGGATACCTACCAGCTGGGATGCTTCTGTCTTGTTACAGGAACAACATCGTTTGGTAGGGGAAAACGCAAGGGAAGGGAGATCAGTCTTCTGCTCACTAGAATGGCTAATTGCTAATGAGCTTCTGTCTCTGAGTCAGTTTAAGGAATCAAAAAACAGCTTATCCACAGAGTAATGGAGTCCTCTCACCATGATACTGCTACATACTTGAAGTAAGACTTTTCCAAATGAAAACTCTTGTTAGTACTATTAAAGTAGATAAATACTGTCTCCTAGGGCTTATAAATAATTAAATAGATGACAGAGAAGGATCTTGAACCTTGGTCTCCTATTGTCCCCCAGTGAGAGATCAAGCCATTGCGCCATCATATCCCTCCTAATTGCCTATCATTGCCCTGGGCCAGTGAAAATTTAATTATTTCCACAAAAACTCCCACAAAAGAGACTGGTATTGGTGGAATCTGGCAATGATATTGCTCTGCTAAACATGGTGTATAGTTATAATATCACAACTCTTCCAGAAGTACTGTGTCCTTGGTCATTTCTCCCAGACACTGAAAGTGGAAGCTCTGCAGCCACAGAGCCTGGCAAAAATGCTTCTTTTATGAGGATTTTTTTTTCACTTTTTGTGCATGTCTCTAATTTTTAACTTTTCGTTTTCTATCAATTGAGTGTTCTCTCATGCCTTTCCTTCCCACCTCCAAGAAGCTTCTGGCAGAAAGCTAAGAGATCAGTCTCTGCTGAAACAGAGAAAAGAAGGAATGTGACCGGTTGCAATGAGAAGCTTGCACTGGGTAATTTAATAGACACTCACATGAATTCTGCTTGCTTGATATGTTGTGTTACTCAGTGCAGTAGTCAGATGGCCACAATAAAAACAGAAGGAAAAAGAAAGAATATGAGAAGGAAAGAACCCGTCCATATTCCCGGGGAGGGATGAGTAAACTTTTGGTACACACATATTTTTGGTGATTTCTCCTTCCCAGAGTCATCCAGACAAAAGGAGACAGGCTGGTGAAAGTCATCAAGCTTTCCACAAGCAGCCTGGTCTGACAGAAAAAGTATCCTCCCAGTTAACTTCTATTAACATAAAGCTGAAAATGAAGTCCCATGGCTCTAAGGCTACTGAGTGAGACTTAGGAATCAAGGGATAGACAGAGTTTAACAGGCTCATGTAGCAGAGTGGGTCCATTGACAGAGCTTCATCTAGAGCCTGGAATCAATTCCAGATGTATCTGCATTCCACTGAACAGGAGGAACTGCGATATCTGCCTTGAAAATTATTCAGGATGATCTAACTTGGTACTAGTATGACTATCTAAAAAGCTGGAGGGAAAAATTGGCTTGTCACTGTATTAATCTGAAAGTTGCTACTTTTTTTTAGCTTTGTCTAAATGAGAGTTTTTTAGTTTTGTTTCTTTGTTATTGTTTTATGTTCATTTTTGGTTTTGGTTGGTTTGGTTTTTGTACCTGCAATGTATGGAAATACAAGGAGATTCTATTTTACTCATGCTTGTTCAGGTAATGAAGAATGACAAGGGAGACAAAGGACAGGAGGGAATAAAAATTTAGAAATTCATCTGGTGGAAATGCAGTGACTAATCTATGATAATTCAGGGATTAATGGGCTGAATCCAGCATGATCCTAGGGCTTTTGGTTTTTCTCCTTCCAGTCCAAGACAAAACTTCCGCTTATGGCTAAACATAGGGAAATAACAACAACAACAACAATAACAACAACAACAACAATAATAATAATAATAATAATAATAAAAATAATAAAAATAATAAAAATAATACTCATATTTATCCTACTTGGTGAGTGTTTTTCAGAATGGAAAGGAGGAGGAAGCCCTGTTTGAATGACTGAAAATTTAAAGAACTAAATTATCAGGAAAATGTTTCTAACCAAGTAAATGATATTTTCATGCAGTATGAATTCTGAATACATGGGCAGGCAAATACTAAATTTATTATAGTCCATTCCATATTGGATGGCAGCTAATGAGCTCTTGGCTTCAACATGTTTGGATAGAGTAGTACCTTAATTCTTCTTCCCCTTCCTGTTAATGGGAAGAACAGCAGCTGGGAGGAACATTTGCTGCAGGCAGAGTGTAGACTGCATTAAGGATCAAACATTTAAGCAGAGCATTTCAACAGGGATGAAGAACCTGTTTAGATTTCAGCTGTGAACATGTTCCATCTTGTTTAAAAATGAGCCTCTTAGAATGCCTCTGCAAAAGCTGAGAAATGTTAGAAATTAAGACTGCATTTACCCTTGAAGCAAAAGGTCATAAGAATGAAATAAGAACATTGCCTTATTTGTTTATGTTAACAAATACGTGGTGTGATTTTAGTATGTGTAGTTATGGTACTGCATACTCCAGAGTTTGAAAGTGAGTCTCACAGACACTTGTAGAGATGGCATTACTACAGATTCTTCCAGAACTTTTATTAAATCAGTCATGAGCTCCTGGAGACCTAGGGAGAAAAAAAAAAGAAAAAAAGGTGGTACTCTAAATATGAGCCAAAATTCTGGAAAAAAGTCGAAGTATAACATTTCCGAATGTAGAACTATGTGTAGCTGATCATTGCAGGTGATGCGCTAAAGGTTCTAACTCCCAAAACTTTCAAAAATCTGGCATCTAGGTCTGAATTATTTCAATGTCTTTTTATTATATACTTGATTAGTCCCTGTATAATGGCTTCTGTGGTTTATCATTCCGTCAGTTCTACCTGAAGTCTAAGGATCTTACTGTCTGTAGTTGTAGCAGCAGTCTTTCCTTCAGTTATGTTCTGTATTTGACTGCAATGAATTTATCTAATCGCTCCTCAGTATTCACGATTTCCTAAGCTAAAGAATTTCACAGTTCATCTACATACTATTTGTATTCACGTGTTTTAATTAACCACCTCTTAAGTTTGTTTGATGCCCTTGGACCTTGTGTTCTAAGAAGCAGTAGCTAAATTTCCTGTTTGCCTTTTCTCTGTCTTTCAGAAGTGGTTGCACCTATCACACCTCCTCATCAGCCTCTTTTCCGAACTGAAGCACCCTAGTCAAGCTTATGTCCTCTTTCAGTGAAGCTGTGCCACACCTTCGACCACATTTGTCATGCTATCTCTACTTTTGTTAGCTTTTTCATTTGCTTTTAATCTGCTTTTCTTCATGACAAAGAAGACAATACCATATGTAGCCAGAGACTCCCACTGTCTTTGAAACAGCTGAGTTGTTTACCAGCTTATGAACTGAGCCTCTTCAGGATGGGTACTATATAAGGGTTTTCTCACAGGTTCAGGTTTGTTAAGGCAGCACTGAAGTGTGAAGTTGAACTGCCAGCCTAAGAAAAAAATGGTGGGTTTGTACTGGTCTTCAGGTTTATTGTCCTCATGGTGACAGGGGGCTCGCTAGCAGTGATATTTACTTATTCTCTTGTCCTATGTGCCTGAGTAAACATTAAAAACAACCCACAAAAAACCAAACTAAACCAACAAACAAACAAATAAAAACAACCAAAACTCAAGCAGCTTTTAGAAGCATTGCAATTTTAGAGAAGGAAATATACACCTCCCTTTGCCTTTATGACTAATGAAACAACCACTTCCTTCCCACACCCCACCTCAGCTATCTCCACAAAGAAACAGAGACAGAAAATGTTGAACCTTCCAAAATAAGGTAACCACCAAGAGAATATTTTCTCACCACCCCCTGAAATTTGCTCTCATACCAGCTGTTTGCCCCATCCTGAAAGGGTGGGGCTCCTGGTGACCAGGTGAGATAAGCATTGGATCAGACTGTCAATTTGCCCTCTCTTCCACCAATTTATTTTTCTGACAGAGAGATGAACATCCAGGAGAGCTTTAAAAGACAAAATACACCTTGTGTGAACAATGTATAAACAGAATTCATAGTTCAGATTCAAAGGACAAAGAGATCAAGAAACTTGGTCATCTTTAAGCACAGTCAAGCTCTCTAATTAGGAAAGACAAGTTCTCATTTCCATTGCAAATATTATTCAGGTGCAGTAGGTACAATCAGTCAGGCACAGAAGGGGAAAAGGTTTTCCATGACACTAGTACAAAAGCAGTCCACAGGAACTAGTGGCAGAAAAATTAAGTGAAACAGATAATTTATGTTTTCTCACCTACAAAAGCAGTATCATCAGATACAGATAAATTATTGAAAAAGTTGTCAAATAAATAGCCTAATTGTATGATCACCATTTTGCCACTTGAACTGCATTTGAACAAGTGCTCTTCTAACAATCTGCAAAAGGGATTGTCTGAGTGAAGTTTTAATGTGACTTTTCTTCTGCTGAACTTTTTAAAATAAATACCCTTGATGCAATGTTATTACTCACTCATAATTTTTGCACTTTGATACTGCTCCCATGGAAATGATAGGAGAAGACTTTCTCCCTAATAGACTATGCATGTATTCAAGGGTAGGAGGCCTGACCTGTGATTTTAGCTCAGCCACATTTAAAAATGTTGGTAAAGAAAGCAGAAACCATTTAAAAATAATTTAGTATAGCAGGTAGGGCTAAGTACTTTTATTTAATACCAAAAGTAGTGACCTGAATGGCAGCCAGATTTATCTATAGGGTAGATAATTCTAGGGAGACATTTTGTGCTGGGATTAGATGTAATCAGTGAACCTGAACAGAATTTTGGCACACACAGCTCTGTCACGTATATTTGCCCATTTGTAGTTCACACCAATTTCTGTTGTTATTGAAGTAGTGTGGAGGGAAGGGGTCTGAAACAAATAGCAAAGAGTCTTTTCTAACTTGGAGTTTCCAATCAGTAATCAGTAATAGTTATGCTTTATGGTTAGTCTTTTATGCAGCCATAGATGATTCTAACATATTCACTGACCTTTTTTTTTTTAATTGCTGTTTTCAAATGTTTGTGTTTGTCATCTAAAAGACATATTGAGCTTTTTCAGTACAATGGAGCCAAACCAAAACACCTTTGATTTCTGAATGGATAAGGCATATTTATGAGCATACCAGTCCAGTCTGGTGTCTGTGTCATACTGAGAGCTGGCCAGGTTTGGTTTCCTGTTCTGTTTTTAAGTTACATATGTCCAAAGCAGGTGGTCTTTCTACAGTTGCATGCGATGGTTTTTCATTGTGGAAAAATCTCCCAGACTTTGATACTTTGACATCCAAAGCCAGACCCACATTGCAGACAAATTAAGCCTTAAAATGTGAATATGGATCTAAAAATAGTTCTAATCCAGATATCACTTCTTGAGCTGTAATACTCTGTTAAAAAGCAAAGAACTCAAACTGCCTGTAAAAAAACATCATCACCTTTATAACTACAGAATTACCCATATCAGGCAAAGCCTGCCTAGTTTCCCTTCTTTAGACATGCAGTAATCATTGAAGCAGGGAAGTGAATTCAAGATTTGCTTTTCTCTGCTGAGTGACAAAATAACCAGGCTTTATGATCAGTTTTCTTTATCCAAATTAATATTTTTATTTATTTTATGGGTGGACTAAAACCATCAACAAATTGGAACTATTTCCATAGCATGGTGTGCATAAAGCATTCACCTAGAGAATCTACTGACTTCAGCCTCTGCTCACAGAAGACTCTCCAGATCTCACATGCACTAAATGACTACTAGGATGGTCACTGTGTGCTAACAGGCTATATTAGACAGAAAATGAAGTTCTGCTTTTAGTTTTGAACTTTCATATGGACCATTCACTTAAGAGTCAGACTTGATCCTTGTGGATCCCTTTCAACTCAGACAATTCTGTGATCTGTAAAAGAGTTCTGCTGAATTAATAACCCTTGTGAGGATTTAATATGAAAAATGAAATTTCTGTTGAAGAATGATTCTTGATCAACTTTAATATGTGCAGACTGAGCCTTTCCTTCCTAGTCTCTTTCAAGGTTCATGACTAAATTAGTTTCTAGGAAAGGAAGGAGAATGATGACATCTTTTTGCTGAATATGTCATTTATATGACACAGGAATATAACCTTGGATTATCAAGTGCATCAGCACTAACAAATACACTAATAACTTTTTAAGGATATTGGGCTCAAAAACTTTATCCTCAATAATCTGCAGACCAAAATTAAAAAGATAAGTAAATCCAAGGTTTTATAAGACTGTGTGGATACTTGGTCATAGTTTTGTACTTTGACCCTTCTGCTTGCGTTCAAGAAGATCCACCAGGAATATCATCTACTTCAAATGTGTAGCTCAGGAAAACAATGGAAGAAAACTTGTTTTTTCACATCTTGTGGTCCTCTTCTCACAGTGGGAGTTAGCTGTCAAAGCTCCAGAGCTAGGTTTGTATCAGAAGCTCTAGAGGTGAAAATGTAGATAAACTTCAGATGTGAATTATGTGCTGAAGACTCTGAAGATGTCAGCTCAAAGACAAAAACATACATGTTGAATTGGTCATGGACACACACCAGTCAAGGGCTACATTTTTATAACCAGATGGGAGAGCACTTTCTTTGAGCTTCTGGATCAGGCATGTTTCTCACATGCATCATGATTTTATATTAGGTTATAAGTCAGCCACCACCTTCCCTCACAGCTCTGTTGCCATGGAAAACAACTGAGGTGCATGGCTGGGAGTAGCTTTGGCTGCTTCAGCTGGTTTCCCATTCAGCGGCCAGAACACTAAAATTTGAGAGCAGTCAAAAAGACAACAGCCCTTGTTTTTTGACTGGAGATAAATACACCAGATATAATCTAGCAATCATAAATATTGTCTTGAAAGACAGGTGTCCACCAAGGAAGGTGGGAACCTCCCTTGAAATGGACAATATGACCCCCTTCCCTCCAGATTATTGTAAATTTGAAACTAAGGATGTTTCAGACAATAATATGGGGAAAGGAATAACAATTCTTTACTGGTATGTATGTATAACAAGGCAAACAAACCATAACAACAAACAAGAACAGAAAACCCCATTAACAGTCTCCTCCCTGCAGTTTAATCCATCTCCCCTTGCTGCAGCTCCGGGCAGGCGCGGGCACCACGCCGTCATGGCTGTTCGGCCCAGGCGGGAAGGGACAGGAGAGAGGCTTTGATTCACAAACCCCTGGGACAGCTGGGCCTGGTGCCCCTCTGGATAATGAAATGAGTTTTAGAAGGGACTTCAGAGCAGCCTCTGGAATGGCAGGGATGAGGAAAGTCCCAGAGTATCAGAAACTCCACAGCTGTTTCTGACTCCTACAAACCGTAGGAGGTCTCAGCATGCACGGGGTGTGGGGCTACAGTGTAGTGGGAAAAAAATCCTGGAGCAGTGGCAGAGAAGCAGCGGGGCTGGGCAGGCTCCTGAGCATGGCAGGGAGAGGCTCTCTTGAAGTGGAAAAGGTGCTTGGGGGTCCTAGGGTTTCCCCTGAGGCACCCCAGCAGAAGGTGAAGGGTGAGGCAGGGTGTTAATAAGGCCCCAGTGCAATGGCCGCGCTTACGGGCAGAGCTCCACTCACTGTGGAAGGTGGCAGGAGACAGAACCCTGCAGTGGTGGTGAATTCTACTGACAGCAACCTCTTTTTCCCCCATAAATGCTGAGAGACCAAGACACACTAGGAGCTGCACACAGCCCCTTCCCCCAGTCCCAACAGTGTGGTATTTCTGCCCTTCCCTCATCTCCCTCAGTTGCACTCCTACCCCTTCTCCACAGTTACTTTATTTTAAATAACAATTGTTATTGGTTTTTTTAGCAACAAAATGGGAGAAAATGCACTAAGAGAAAGAAAACAAAAAAAGAAAAATCCTAACCTCCAACAAATATGTGCAAAAGACATGGGATCATTCATGCTCCACAAGTGTCTGCTCTGGAAAATCCCTATAGCAATGTGTTTCACCTGGGCAGCATAGTTACTTCTTTACTGAGGCATTGATGTGGATTTCTTTGACTTGTCCAGAGGATTTTCCTCAATTTTATACCAATTACAAAGGATGCTTGAATTTTGGAAATTTGGGGGAGAGTGGCATTTTGAAAGGAAGACAATCCATTGGCACAGCCTGTCTAAGAAGCTGAATGCGTTTTCCATTAGTTAGCTTGTCTTCAGACCTAAGGTTATGTTATTGGGTGTATTCCACTAAGAAATGTCAGGTGAGCCTTAGGTCATGGATATTACAATCATTGTGTCTCCAACAGAGACCCGCTGAAGGGAGCATTTGCATACATTGGTATAGTGAAAATAAGGGAGGACTTGTTCATATAATTGCCACAGCTAACCATCTTCCCCAGTAAAATGAGCTCTCTTCAACCATCTTAATAGAGGATGTGCTCTTTGGTATATGACACCAAAAGGAAAATTCTTACTGTCAAGACTTCAATAGCAGTTTCTTTCTTTTCCTGCCTGCTCCCATACTCTGGAAATGGCTGTTAGGAGTGAGGATTACTCAGGAGTTGCCTCACACAGCTGTGAGAAGAGTACACAGGCAAATTGTGTCTGGTCTCTGGCCACACCCTGCTGGAAGCACATGTGGCCCAGCCAGATAAGAGGCATTTTTTCTGCAGGAGAACCATGGACAAGACTTAGTTTGCAAATTTGACAGACCATGACAAGATTTCAGTTTCAGTAACACTGTTATTTGTAATGAAGATCAAGACATTTTGAAATATCAATGTCATTTAATTGTGTGCATTTGTACACAGGTGGCCTTTTATATTTTTTTTTCATTAAATCAGTTTGTCCTCTTATTCTGTCTGAAATACTCACAGCCCTGCAGGAGAGTGGCTGTGCATATTCACTCACAAACTAGGTCAGTTTGTTTTCACCTAGGAGCAATATGCTCTTGCCCAGAAATCTACAGTGCCTACCATAAAGAGGTGCAATGCTGTGAACCCACTCTGATGATTTTACTCACGTATCCTGAGGAATCCTGGTGCTCAAGGGTTGTTTGTCAATCCCTGGCTTTCTTGTTTATATTGCCTCTTATCAGTAGAGCAACAGGCTGTTTTCATAGCAGCTTCTCTTCTTTCATCTCAAGACTTCTGAAGCTTCTCCAGAAATGTTCCTTCCTTTGACCTGACACTGGATCTGCTCTAGCCACTGAAGCTATTCAAGGCCTGATTTTCCATTTCATTGGATGGGGAAACTCCCCGGGCTGTCTCCAGACTCTTCCCAGTAAACATTCTGCACTGGAAGGTATGGTTTAACTGGAGTAGGTATGCAGACACTCATGTACCCAAAAAAACCACATAGGACCTACCACCTTCTTGAATTTTTCATGTAGTAGATGCCTGGGGGATTTCACACAGCTGTCCTGCCCTGAGGTAGAACTCAGTCTGACTGGAAGGTAATTTGACTGAAGTCTTTCCTATCTTAGTTTTACTATCACAATACCCCAATCTGTGGTCTTGGCTATGAACCAACTGGAAGGAAAGAAAATCAAGTTCCCTAAATTTCTTCTGGATAAGAAAGGTAATATAGATGTAGTGTCTAACAAACTGATCTTACTTGGAAAAAACTAGCAGCATCTTCTTCATCCATGTCTTTTCAGTGACCACATGGCTGGCAAGAGACCAAATTATTCCACAAAAGACAGGTCTATAGCCCTCACAAAGACAAGCTGTTGGGAGGCACTGATAAGCCATATCTGAGGTAGTGCCAGGTTTTTCCCTGAAGCAGTAAGAGAAGGCAGTGGTATCACGGCATTACTGCTTATCTGGATTCCTCTGTGTGGAGTCCAGCATTACATCTCCAAGGAAGATATGGAGCAGCATCTTTTTGAACCTGTCACCCTTGCAATTATTATGAAAAACCCAAGTTCTGTAAACCAATTGAAATTCCAGACCCAAATTAATTGTCCTTTATCATTATGCCTAAGAGCAGGAGACATTGCAGCTGGTACTGGAAAGACTAAAACTGAACTGCTTATCAGCAGGGAAGAGACTGAGTTCATCTAACCTTAGCCACATGAAAGGTGCACATCTAGCATAAACCATTTGCCTGGGCTCTCCTTCCAGTCAGTGGAACAATTCCACAGAGTGATTCACTGCATCCTAAGAATAGTGCCTGAGGTAGGTGGCTTGAATCACTCTGGGGAATTGCCTGTCTCTCTGAAGAGAGGTTTTGCCAGACAGCTTTGATGACAAGCCTTTATGTGCTTAAAATTAGATGAGATGAATCCCACTTCTTAATGTTCAAACTCACTGTCTTTCTGAAACAAGGAAGAGCTGCAAATTGCATGAGAACACAAATAGCTGATGTTTTTAAGTGAGAGCCTTTACCCAAAGACAATCCTGCCTGTATTTCACAGGGAAGGTGGAAGGCAACTGGACGGTGCAGTCTGGGTGAGAGGTGCTTGCTCAGTCTACAGTGAGAGGTGTGAAGCTGTTCCTCTCGCCTTTGCTCCCTGGTCTTGCTCCAGTTCTGACACCTGCTGATTTGCATTCCTCTCGTGGTTCCACATCATGCTGTATGAGGTCTCTACTCCCATTCAGCCTTAACACAAGCTATTAAGAGTAGCTATACCTTTTAGATAGGTAAAGCTTACTGCTCATTGCTCTGAGTGCAGCGACAGGCATGAGGGCCCATGAAAGCCATAAACCACTGCCATGGGTACTGGGTAGGCAGGGGTAATGGACTATCCTGTCACACAAACAAGGCACACAATTCCCTGTGGAACTGACTCCAAACATTGACTCTCAGTGTGTATGTTTCACCTAACACCCCATGGATGACTCTTGAAGGACTTCCACCAGTTACAACATGGAAAAAAAGTGGAAAAGATGAATTGAGCAATATTTGTTTTATACCAAGCACAAGATTTTGGGGGAAAAAAAGTAAACCATGTAGAAACATTTATAGAGGATAAAATGCTCTCAGGTATGAATTAATTATTTTTTCTCTCAGGCTATGGTCTTCTATATGAGTTAGGAATACCAGACACATGACAGTGAAATCATCATCTGAATTAACTAAATTCATGTCCTGTTTTGTCAATATTCTTTGTTCAAAGGCCTGAGAATGGTAGGCTTTAGATCCTTTTGTGTGGTCCCTGTTAAATTTTACTCCTGTCAATATTTGCACATTTAAATCAGTAGCCCTAAATGCCTCCATTTTTAGTATGCAAAGGTTATTTCTTCATAGAGGACAGAGTGGCACAAGTGATGTCCTTGCAGTGACATCCTGGCAGAAAACAAGCCATGGATGAAACCCTGCTTTTTCAAAGAAGGGCATTTCTGGTTATCTGATTGCTTGATCAGAGGTCAAAAGGCTTGTCCCTGCAAAGATTATCCAAAGTTTAAATAGTGGCTGATCAATTAATATCTGTTTATCTAGAAGGTCCCAGCAGAATTTCTCTTTTTGGTGGTCTATGTATTTGAGGACATAGGCCCTCAGAGACATAAAAAGAGAGACACCAGAACCACGCAGTGCTCTCACAGTTCCTGCTTTTTGTTGTACCAGAGGCAATAGGGAAGGCCTGCTGCCTCTCGTGCAGTCCATGTCTGTCTGGAAGCATGTCTGACCTCCCTCCCTCACAGGCCGTCCTGCAGGGAAAGCAAAACCACTTATTTTTAGCCTTCTTTCCAGTCAGGGATACTGGAAAGTCTCTGCTGTTTGCTATTTCCTCAGTTTGCACCCTCTAAATGAGGGAATGGGGCCCCTGTGGTGAATGTTAGGTGTGTCCTAATGGCAATCATTTCAAAAGAGTCCCCATATGAACAGGAGCAGCTCTTCCCCCATGACGGCTGGGAATGCTGTTAAGGGCAGTGAGAGGTGGCCCAGGGATTCAGAAGTGCTTCCCTTGCCCTTCTGTGCCTGGCTGCAGGCCTGGGAGCATCTGTTGGTCCCTGCAGAGCCATGGAAATGGCAACAGTGAGTATTAAAACTTTCCCTCCCCTTTTTGGCTTCACAGCTCAGATATAGGGATTTGTGTGAAGTTACTTGCACACAATTTTGCACAAGTCAAGCAACTTTGGGAGAAAAAATTCCAACCCATGTGCATTCCCAAGCTTTAAAAATATCACACCCATTTGTATGTGCACAAGGACAGATTTCAGTGGTTTTCTCTATGATTCTGTGACCATCAAAGTTTAGCAAGAAAGCAGAGAGGGAAAGTGGAGGAGTGTTTGTCTGCAGACAGTAAAAATAGAATGGCATTTTTGCAAACTACTTTTCTAGTCTGCCAAGAGTGATTCCTATGCAATGTATGATACTGCCAAGAAGTCTGCCAGACCATAGATTTTTCTGGATTATGATCCATCAGTCTTAATTTCTCTCCAATAGATGATGATAGATGAAACATGATTCATCACCTAGCTCACCTTTTTTTTTCTGTGATGACTCTGTGGCTACAGAAGCCTTTGTGGTCCCCAACATTGGTCCAGGGGGCAGGAGTGAGATAAACTCATTGTCAGTACAAAAGAATCTGCCTTCTGAAAAAAACTGCAACAGATGCAAGTGCTGGAGATCAAGCCCCACTTGCTATTAAGCAGGCTAAAAATATAGTAATAGCCTGTAGTCTAAGTTTCTTGTAAGAATCTCTAAGGGCCTGTGACAATGTTGTGGCTGTTAAAAACTGTTCAAGTCTGTGCTGAGTATCTCAGTCAAATGTATTTCCACATTAGTGTGAGCAATATGTAAGCAAATTTTAGAATGGAAACCTTGGACAGAATGGGAATAGGAATCTCCTTCTTCTTCCAGAGTAGCTGGCTGACTTCCCCGGAGGACCTCCCTTGGGGCAACATATGAATGAGCTTGAAGAAGTCAGATACCATATACCAATAATGAGGGGTAGCAAACAATATTCACAATTGGCCTTACCCAAACCCCTCCCCCCATATTTCCCCCACTTCTTCAGTCTTATGCTGGTTTTCACAATTAGATGCAGTCATGAAGCTGGTAAATGACTTACAGTTGCAAAAGCTGACAGGCTGGCTTCATGGAAATCAGTGATAAAACTCACACTCTTTTCAGGAGAACCATAACTACCTGCACTGCAAGAGGCAGTTCACAGATCATGAGTATTGTACTGTTTTTGCAATAGTATGAGATGAGCAAAACTGTCATTTTGTCACTGTTTGACAGGTTATTTTGGAGCTATTCAACTACCTCATTCAGTTCAAGACACAAAATGGCTGTGAGTCAGCTGAAACTATTTGCTTCCTAGTTCCTCTAATAATAAAAGCATTTGGGTATCATTTTCAAAGAAGGCCACATATAGACAGGACGAGGTAGACAAGGATACTGGTAAATAGACATCTCAGTCCTTATTGAAGCCTCAACAACTGAACTGCAGTTTCAAAACAACCTTTATTCTGCTTGAAGACTTATTACACTTTTTAAAGCAACTCAAAAACAAGACACAGCTCCATCAACTCTACAGCTTGAACAAAATTTTAAGGAGGCATGTTTTCACTTTTGCCTTGTAAAGGCAATTTACAATCTGCTTTACCCTCCACCTCCTTAACGACAATTTTAAAACAAAGTAATCTTAATGTTTTAAAGACATGTAACAGAACAGAGCTTTATTTTCAAAAAACAAGAATTAAAAAAAAAAAAATAGCAGCATATTGGGCAGCTAATGCAATCTCACCAGGACAAGCGCAATGTAACCTTACCAACTCGTACAGTTTAGTCTCAACTGCAGTGAACAGAACACGATTCTACATAAAATGTCGCACTTTGTAACCTTGTCCCATGGGAGGCATTATGCTTTGAGCTGCCCATTTCTAAAGTGACCCTGAAAAAAACAGTATCAGGATTCACTTTCCCAACTTAATACCATGCATAGCAAAAGCACTGTGTGAAAATCGGCAGTTTTCCCCATTAGAAGCATCTGAATGTTTTCCCAAGCGTTATAATTTCATTGCCAATTACAAGACAAAGCCATTTTTTCACTACAGAACAGTTGACACCAAATAGAAAATCTGAAGATTTGGTTTTACAGATTGCTTGACAAGATAACAGAACCATACAGACAAGCTTTTTTTTTTTTGCTTTTTTTTTTTTAAAGAAACTATCCAACAACACATAAACTCAGTTTTCTAACTGTATCTGGAAACATGCTGCACCCACAAAGGTCTAGTGTGCATGTGTGCGTCTAAACAAAGTTAATGATATCACTTACTGATTTCAGCAAAATGATCATGTTGTGTGAAAATGCATTTATATTGGGAACTGTTCGTACATAAACACAGCAAGTGTGTACGAATACGCACAGATACACATCCCCAACCTGCAAATTCATATTTCAACTTAAGTATATCAGAAACTCTTGATTTTGCTTGTGAGTTTTGGTTCTCTTTGCTATGTCTCATGCCTTTCAAAGGCTTTGTGAAAGAGATGCTGCAGTGCAGCATAACTCAGGGATTGGAAATAAAACAAAAAGTTTCCAAAACCAAAAAAATAAAAAAATAAAAAAAGGTAACAGAATAAAGCCCATCCATGAATTATATTAGATGAAAAAAACTATGCATCAATAGAAATACAGGAAAACACTGTGTTTCTTCAGTTATATCCCCATGATTTTTTTTCTGTATATAGTAGTCTGAGATCAAATCAAAACTGGAGTGAACAATATGGTACATTAAAGACAAACAACTCTGCAGTGAATAGGGCCTTTGGCAGGACTTAGCTCTGTGCATTAAGGAGGGAGAGAAATGCAGAGGCCACAAAATATGTAAGTACCAAAGAAAACCCACTCATGCCAATTTGAGGGCATAAATGATCCCCGCAAATTGCACAGACCCTGTGTAGGCAGAACATCCCCTTAAGAAGCCCTAAGCACTCATCCTTACAACATAGTGCTTATTTCTCATTGTTGCTTGTGCAAGAAAAGCAAGTGTCAAATCTGCACACACAGTATTTTTTTTTCTGCTACAGCCACACACAAAGAGAAGTTGCACAGCACACAGGAACAAATTATATTCCATACTGGGCTGGGCATGCTAAGGATATGGCCCCATAGCAGGGGTTTGCTTAATGTGAGGAAAATTAGATCCAAATGCTTTACTATGATAAAATTTCTTGACAAATGCTACGTGAAACATCAATTCAGATTACATATATTTTGCCTACAGAGAAAAAAATACAATTTTACTCTTAAAATATTTAACATTCAGAAACTAATATATGTCGAAGAATATCTTGGATTGCTACAAGAGTTAAATTGCTGTATATTGAACTAATCTGTAACTTCAAGCCCAGTAGTATAACTGGCATGCTAGAGTAATTGTTGGTGTTTTTCCTACTATAAACCAGTTATTAGCATAACAGATGCACATGGTCCTACAGGCCTGAAAAAAGTGTGGAATGAGGAAGGGAAGGCATGAAGACTTAACTTCTATTCAGGAAAAATATTCAGAATAAATTTCTAAGTGATGACTATCATGAAACAATATTTGTTGAATCTTGTTTCCTGATATAAATTCTAGTAAAAAAATACACCCATAGGAAAGCAAAGACAACCCACCAAAAAAAACAAAACAAAAACAGAAAAAGAGACCATGAAGTCAAAATAAAATCAAAAGCCCTAGAGCCTCAGAACTGAAGTAACAATGCAAAAATGAAAATATAATATAAGGATTATTGGAGACTGGCAAATTTCTAATTATTATTTCCAATAGCTTAAAAAAGCATTGCATACTTTGAAACAAAACACAAGGATTACTAACCTATCTATTATGAGAGAACTATTATGAGAGAACTCCATGGGTCTCACTCTTGTGATTGTGTGTGCAACTCTCTTTAATAGTAATGGATCTTATCTTTTGCATACTGGGGGAAGAATAATTTCATATGTTCACTTAGCCAAATCTTTTCCATGATTTCTCTAAACTTCATTACTTATTGATTTGCAACATGTGAATTTCATCAGTGGTCAGGACAATAAATAACCATTGCAAACCATTAATTGTGAACTATCCCAGGATTATAGGTAACTCTGCTTTAGTGAGAATTATGTTTATGTTTCCTTTAACTGAACCATGACTTTATAAGTCTCTGCTGCCCTGAAATTATGTAAGTGTTCACTTTGATACTGCCTCAGTATACAGACTTTTGAAAATACATATCATAGCCTAATCATTTTCTAAAAAGACATTTTCCAGTCTTAATTAGTTCTATATTGTATCCAAATATTCTCAGTAGAAGTGGAAGTTGGTTTTTTCCCACAATACTAGTACAAAAAACAAACCTAGGCAACAGATTAGAGAAACTTCCTTCATGTGAAATGAAAATACCTTTGCAGGCTGATAAAAATTCTGTCATAGGAGGTCAAGAAGTCATTTATTTACTGTGAAGGTGGACTCATTCTGAGATCCAAACTATCTACACTCTACACTGCAGTAGCAAAATATCCCCATGTTTTTCTGCAGTCACTATCAAAGAAGGATACATTATTTTTCTTGTCTTCCATATACAAAGACAATCATGACAGAAGTTCAAAATGCTTCAAGAAGCAAATGTAGCATGGTACCGTATTCTAAAGTTATCTCTGAAACAGTATTGTTGGACTCAGTGATATTTTGTAATGTTCATATATTTTTTATTGAATTAAGCAGCTTTGAAGCTTATCAGGCACTGCCCAACAAAATATTTAGTCAAAAAAAAATTCACCAACTTTTTAAACTTTGAGCTAGTAGCTCAATATTCTGTACAATGAAAATTGCAAAATATTTCATAGTTTTAATTCTCAGGCCAACTCTTGCTGGCCCCCTGTACATGAAAACAGAACAAAACAAAAACAAACAAACAAAAAAACAACAAAAAATTATTAACAAAAAATAATCACCAGGAAAAATATCCTTAGGTAAAAGAAATAAAAAAAAAAGAAAAAAGACAAAAACCCAAGAAAAATAAGCTTAATCTGTAGATATACTTGAGAGAATACTACAGCCTAAAGAAAATTTAGTATTGCATAGCATAGTCTAAAAATTCAGCTTTTAGCGAACAGAAAAGGAAAAACTGAAGCAGTTTGGTATTGACAGTTTCCACCAATTATAGTTAGTCATCCAGTACTATGTACATTATTATACACTGTATGCCATTGAAAATCCTGTTTTCTTCAGTCTTAAATATATTCTTAAAACAGGATTTTTAGTCATCTAAACAAAACGCTTCCTGGCACTTTGCTATTACAATTACTCTGAACAATATACTGTAACTGATGTCCTTTTAAAGTGTCCCTTAGAAATGAAAGTGCCACTCTGCTACATATCATTCACCAGAAACCAAAACAGAACCACAATGCTGTATGTCTGGATCCACTGAGTGCAGCAACACCATTCCAAGTCAGACTGTGACCACGAAATTCCAATAACTGAATGACACAGACCTCTTATACCTTGTGTCTGGATAATCCAATGTTCTAGCTGGTAAAGCTTCAGAAGTGGTCGTAAACAAGCACCATGCTTAAAGGCCTCATTGTCCCTGCAGGGAGATCAGGTTTGGATTTTTCTCTTGTGTTTTTCTTTTATAATTACAAAAAAAACAAAACAAAACAAAACAAAACCCCAAAAAACACTTCAGATTACAAACAGATTCACAGCATAACACTGTGATCTCTCCCACTGCAGTTGTGAAGGAAATCTCTAGTCCCATCTGAAGACAAATAGCTTTGATACTGCAAATTCTTGAGTAAAGCTGAATGGAGCCTTTTCTCTCCAGAGGCCTCAATGTTGCCAAATCATTTCTTTAAAAAAAACAACAAACAACCCAGAGTATTAAGATCTTCATCGCCTCTGCTGTGCATATACTGGGTAGGCTAGTGTGACATTGAGAGAGTCATTGTGCTGCACAAGGGATGTGTGTTGGTAATGTAGCACCAGTTCTTTGAGCGAGTTGTACAAGTTATATGGCTCTGCAAATCCATACCCAGTAGGTGTTTTGTTTATCACACAGTGCTTTACTTCGCCATCCACCCTAAAAAAAAAACAAACAAAACCAACCAATTTTTAGTTTGTGAGTACAAGAAAATTAAGATAAAAAATAAGGTATTAGCAACACATCTTAAGATGCTACTCAGCACATAGAATTCCTCTGTTCTGTGGTGGGATAATGGTAAAAACCTATGTTTAGTCCAAATTTGTGAATGCCATCCTAGCTTAGGGGGGCAGGAGATAGGGAGGACTTAGCAGCTGCACAGAAAGAAGTGCACACATGTTTTGGTTTCCCATCTGAGTGAGGCTCCTCTGTGGGAGTGACACAGGTTGGAGCTGTGTAGGAAATGAAGCAGCAATAAGAACAGCCTCAAGACCCCTTGACCTGCTTCTAAGCCTAAAGAAAAAGATCCAAGAGGAATTGTGCATATTCAAGTGTCTATCTGCCCCCAGCTGAAGGTGGCCCCTTGCATGCTGGTTATACTGCTCACAAGTTAGGGTACATACACAACAGAGCAGGCATAGCAGCCTTGTTTGCTGCTCTCTCGAACAAGGAATGTTCCATCTCGTTTTCCCCGCAGCAGATTTTCAGCTTGGCTTCTATTGATATTTCCCACATTCCACGTTCTCTCGTCATGATGGGGCAAGTCCTCATCATCTTCTACCATAGAGTATTGACTGTCAAAAATGAAAAATGTGTTTGTGAAACATAGAACAAAATCCACTAATTAAATAGTCTTTATTCTGTATTACAGTGGTTAGCAGGTATGCCTCCTTGGTAAAACTAGGGATTTAAACCAAGTAATACTCCACCATAATAAGATGATGTGTTATTTTTCAGGATATGCTGTGAGCACTTCAGTACTTCTGCCATTGCTCACTGTTTTGGTAAATAGCAAGCCCAACAAAATCAGTACCCACTGAGTCAGCTTCATTTCCAAAGATCAGAACATTTGGTCAGCAGTGAAAAATCATACAATGTATCAACTACAGCTGCTGCTTGGAGAACCTCTGAGCAGTTGCACAGGGAGACAGATTAATTATTTATAGGGGAATGGCTTTGTGAAAAGGTGCAATAGTGGAGTGCTTTCTCTCTTTCTCTCTCTCTCTCCTTATAAGCAGATTATGAAAATAGCATGCAATACATGCTTCTCTACTAAAGCAGCCACCAACTATAAAGCCGATTCAGAGTTAAAGAGAAGCCTCTTTGTAAAAGTCAGCCCTGAAAAAGGAAGCATCTGGTTCAGCTGTGTGGATATCACTTTGGAATTCTGCAGTTCCAGAGCTCCCCAATCCCATAACAGCCTGCACTGGTTGGCCCTGCCTCTCCTGCTCAGCTTGCAGTAAGTCTGTGTTAGGCTGATGGATTTATTCTCTCTGTAATAGACTTTTAATTAGTTTTCCTTGTCTAAGAAAAGATGAATTCTCACTCATCCATGGTCCTGCCTTTCTGAAGATACTCAAGGTAGCCTAAAGAAATCAGGAATCGCACACAGAATTCTGGTTTTCATAAAAGAGAAAGAGTTTTTTGTTTTGGATAACACTGCCTCCAGGTCCCTTATCCCATCCCTATTTTGACCTGCATGACATACACATACATTTAGTAGTGTCTCTGTTTTCAACTAGCATCTAGCAAAAGCAATTCTTGTTTTTTATCCTGCTTATTTTACTGCAATACAACTTCAGAAGAAAAGCCATATTCTAGAAGTTTAATTTTTCAGCAGTTACCAGACTTGACAGCAAGGAGTATGAGTGAGGGAAAATGAAGATTTTATTTAAACAGTTTCACTTACTATTTTGATGCTACACTAAACCCACAGAGTGTTCTTTGTCTACTGTTTAAGTGATAGGAACACTAGTGGGAACAGGTGCCTACGTATTTTACAACATCTCATCTTTGAGTTGTGCTAAGACTGAGAAAACAACATGGCTTTAAAATGTGTGTGTCTTTTTTATCTCCTGCTTCTACCACAGCAATAAGCACAATTTCCAGGATAACAGTAGGAGACTCAATAAACCAAGCCAAATTAAAATATATGTGGACAAGGCCAGAATGCAAGGCAGAATGCACTAGAGTCATTGTCAACCTGCTGCTTTCATTGTATATTCAACCAGGTAGCATGAAAGAGATGCACAAGAAACTACATAGGCAGAAAATGTTAATACAATACTACTGAGACAATTTTGATTTTTCTGTTTGTTAATTTTTCACTGTTACTGTGCTTCAGATATTATTTTGTGACTTGTTTTTGTTTAAATTTGGTCTATGTTTACATAACCCAAGAACCTTTTGCCTTTTTTCCCAGGAATGAAATTAAATGTATTCATCAGCCTAGCCTCTGTAAACTTACAGTAAACAATACTGTTTTGAAATGACAGAATACTACCCTGCTGTTTTCCAGAAAAATGAAACAGACCACAAAACCAAAGAATATTCCAGCACATACAAATTTATCATCGCCAACAGCAATGTGACATGATAATGTGGGTACCCCTATACTGGATAACACGATGATACCACAGTTAAGACTTGGAAAAAGCCTGCTCATGCCTAAGAGAACTTCTGAATAATTTATCCATCCGTATGACATCTCTCTAAGGCACTAACACCTTATGAACTTAATTTTGCTGGTAAGAAAAATACACTAGTTACATTTCAGTGCTTTGCTACAGTAACTTGAAACAAGTTCCCTGAAAAAAGGAGGAGAGAAGGGGGTGAGACAGCATCCTTTCTAATACTTGCATTATGTAGGCTGTCATGTCTTTATAGTGTTCATTGTTACTGAAGACCTATGCTTGAGATTTCCTCTGTGTGCTCCAAGACTTAAATATGCTTTATCTCACTTTTGTATTTAGGTGATTTGAAACACCAGAAATATCTAAATCTTGCAATACTTACTCTTCTGCATTTTCATTTCCAAGCCATTCATTTAGTTTCTTTTGCCGAACACCTTTTTGAGTCAGCCACCTGAACAATAATTGCAAATGAAATTAATTTTTAGTCACAGAAGTTGGATACCGTTAAAAAAAACAAACGAAATTTGTTAATTCATGATACTCACATCAAGTACTGATCTCTTGTCTTCCTCAGCTGTATGAGGTCTGGCTTGATGCTGTTCATACGCTTGTCTATCTCTCTATATTCAGCTGCTTGCTTTTTTAAGTCTTCTTCTAATCTACGCCGGCTGTCCACAATTTCACTTATCCGAGACTTCAGCTTTTCATAGTTGTGCATGATTCTAGATGGAACAATGTGGTAAGTTACACTCTGATTTCTTATTCATAACTTTATAGTCTGCTATTTAGAGGCGTAGACACCTAAGAGAACAGATTATTTCTCCAGATGTAGGTAGTTATGCATTTTGCCAGTTTGCATCTAACCTATTTGAAGGTTCTTTGCTTACAACTGAACAATTTCAATTGTCATCTTGCTTCAGTTTCAGGCAGACCTATAGTTGGCCTATGGTTTTTTAAAAAATCATGTCATTTGATATGCAGAATCAAATACTGACCTTTGTATTTCTTTTTCATTTCCTTCCCGTTTAAATTTTTCGATGTATTCCTTACTGTATCTTTCTTGTGTTTGGCACTGCTCTTCAAATATTTTTATTGTTTCATTAAATGCCTCAATGGCTGTTCTTTTCATTTGAATTTCCTGAAAATAAAATAATTGTTATTACAGTTGTTATCAGATAAAGGGGAAGATTTATTGGCTTGTATTACAGAAACACTTCAGTATATTGTAGAAAAATATCCTTTCAATATCCCTTTACCAAAATGTATTCTGTCTGCTGAGCCTCATGGCACAGAGACAACAGGCTTGTGCAAAAGGCTACCATGGTAAGATTCCTATGATGAGGTTTATCAAGAAATAGAAAAATTCTAGTTTTCTTTCTTCTAATTTTTTAAGAATTCTAAAAAAGTAATCAGTTACAATCTTTGCGTTGTATAAATAAATTGATGCTTAGAACCTTATGGCAGTGCACTTTGCCCTTTGTATGAACTTAAGTCCTTAGAGGGACACCAGCTTTCTAAAATAAAGATGGCCTTGACAGGTCTCAGGAGGTTATCTAGCTTACCCTCCTGCCCCTGTATACCTAGCTGGTAGCAAAGTCTTAAGTCATTAGTTCAAGTTGGCAGCAATTCTCCAATTATCTTCAATTATTTTTAGGTGTATTTCCTGCACACTTTAAGAAGCAGTCTTCATTCTGGGTCTGTAAAACTGGACTAATTCATGGCACTTCAAGGCATGGCTAATAATTGATTAAGCTGAAAGAGGCCTCTTTTCATCCATGCATTTTTGTCTACACATGTCATCTCTTTATCTGGCATAAGTAAACCAGACCCTTCAAAAACTCATAATAAAATGCAATGCTTCCCTGCAAATGTGCCTTGAAAACCGTAACTCAGCTTGATGAGGTCAGTAGGCAGAAGTGGTGGTAAATCAAGACAGTTATGTACTTGCTTTGGATGGAGCTATCAGACTTGGACAGAGGGCAGCTTAAGTTTACAGGTGGCTGTTCAAACATGAGTAAGCAATTGCATAGTCTGAACAAGCACATCAGGGCAATGCAGTGGTGGTGGAAGAGAGGAGTAGGAAGATGACAATGTGAATTCACAATAATATCCAAAATATACGAAGTCTTACCATTCTCCCTTTAGTTCAAATCTAGCTCACCTGAGATGTTCTTGTGTAATCTTCATAGAGTCTGTCATATTCTCTGCTTTTTTCTTGGAACTGGGTATTATATTCATGTAATTTCTTTCCTACTGCTTCAATGCTATCCTCTTTTACAACTTGATCCTGGAATGATAAGCAGAGAGAAAGATATTCTGTAAGGAGACAATTATATTGCACAGCTTTTCTGATAAAACTGCTTAAAAATGCTTAGATAATTACATGGAAATGTGATTCCTCTTTCACCAATATGGAGATACACTAAATGCATAATATGCAAATGAGAAATTAATGACAAAAAGGAATTTTGCATTGCAAGTGTTTAGCTTTATACTGATAATTACATATTTCACCATTGAGTGGGATAATTATTAAAATGTTTATTTCTTAACAGTATATCTGCAGTATTTAAAGTTTTAAATAAAACTCAAATTAAACTCAGTGCAAAGCATGGAGTTGGTTTTAAACAAAAACATCAAGTTTTGTACCCACTTGATTTTTTCAAACATTAACAGAGCTGAAGTTCTACACATTCTTCAAGTTCTGCAATAATTTCTCTGTATTTAAGTGAAATGCAAAGAAAACAAACTAAATTACCTGCTGGTACTTAGATACTGGATAGAGTAATTTTACATCCAGTTTAGGATTATACTGGGCTAGAGATTCATTCCGGTAGTGGTTTATTAGTTCGACCACAGAGTTGAACGTTAATGGGTCAGAAAAGCCGTATTTTCCATCTCGGTGAAAAATTTTGATTAATTTGTTATTTCCTCCTTTCCTGCAAATAAAGTACATTGAAAAGTTAGGCATGCTTCAAGTACTATTTCCTATATAATACTCTGCATTAAGTGCAGTTATTGCATTTTACTATCAAGTATTATGTTTCCAGTGTAACTAGTCTTACCTCAGTGTCAGTGTGTAGTCCCCATGCATTTTGGTTGAAGCATCTCGTACCAAAAAGGTACCATCAGCTGTGTCTCGAAGCTTCTCATTTACTTCTTCTCTAAAATGAAAGCAAAAGTAACCAATCATTTCAATTAGTTCTCACACACTTACTCTTCCACAGTGTTCTAAATTCAAATTCAGATGTTTTGAAATAAGTGTGTTTTAGAAGCCTTCTATGTCTCCATATTAATACAACTATATAATACCTTATTTAAAATTGTTAGAAAACAAGTGGGGTAAAAAATGGCATACTCTGTGCTCTCACTGCTGGACAAAATAATTATTCATGTAAAGCTCTTTCTGCTTGTTCATACAAGCCTATGCAATTGGAGCACTCAGTGGTGGTCTAATATACCTATATATAGTACAGATAAAAATGTTGTTAATATATGGCACTTGTTAGTCTGACTTGCTGACTGTTGTGCCTACAGCTGAGGTTCTTAATGAAAAACAAGAGCAAAATTCTTTCTTAGTGCTATCTTTTCACGCTAGCATTTCATAGAAGCCTTAAAGTAACAGAACAATTTTGCATACTACATTCTAAGTGACAGACAGTAACTTTTTAGTCATATTTGGAATAAAACCAACTGTAATACGTTTGTGGTAGAAACTACCATAAAATTGCTCTTTAAACTTATTTTCTACACTCAAAGCATAATACATATACACAGAATAGCACAGCAAGAATAACACAAAGTCAAACGTAAGAAATACATGTCTTGAGGTGATTTACCTTGAGATATCCCCCCAGTACCATTCAGCGTCTTGCAATGACATGTTGTTATTCATGCTATTGTTAGTTACGGTATTAGGTTTCGGTGGCTTAGGAGGCAGTGCTGCAAATGAAAGGGGGAAAGAGAAGTTGTAACTCACTAAAAACATGACCATATATTCCTTGAAATTACACGTTATTACATACATTTTATAATTCTAGGAGTGCGCTAAAAAAAGAACCGGTTACCAAACAGAGTTGTCCACCGTTAACATTCTTTAAAAGACACTACAGGAATCAAGAAATTTGAAAACAAAATAATTCAAAATAAAGCTATACTGTTTCAAAAAATGATGCTATCTTGCAATAATATATTTTAAGGAAAATATAACACCATAATCAATTCCTGCCCCTGTGAAGAAAGCATTTGACAAAAAAAAATCTGAAGTTTGCTATTACCTTCTTTCACCATCTTTGGGTGAAAACAAGCAATAAAACATGCCACTTTTATTTTTCCTCCTATGTAATGATCTTAGAGGAATTTTGATGTTTTCTTACCTAGAAGCTGAGTAATAAAAGATGCAAACCCATAGCAATACAGTTTATTTCAAGAAGAATCAGGGTTTTGTGATCCTCAGCATTCTGTGTAATGATTTGCAAAAAAAAACACCAAAAAAACAAACCCAACAGTTTAAGAAACCCATCTGTGACCCAAATATCCCGTGTGTTAATCTTAGTATTCTACAGAATAGATTGTGTTCCAAATGCCAGGACTGATTAAAAAACACCCCCCCCTCCCCCCTTTTTTCAATGTCAAAGCTGCATATGTATACCAGTGGGTGCCAGAGAAGATACTGCAGCACTGACTTAGTAACAAGGGGGACTACACTGGAATCAGGATTAAAAATCAACTCAGCTCTTTCAGTTCCCCAGTAAGTACATAATTCCTGTCCTGTATAATATGACCAGGCTCAAAAGACAATATTTTTAAAGTTGCAAGGAATATCAGAATCGCGTAATACTTTCATATGATATGAAGAAATTCTACAACAGGCATTCAATTAGTATTTCGAATTTTAAAAATGTTTTTTCCTTAAACAATCCAAGCCAATGATTTGGAATCACTGTTTCAGGAAATATGAGTGTTACCACAGCATCTCATTTTAGGCACAGTGTGGAACAGAGAGAGCAAAAATAGTAATAAAAGAAATACAATTTTTATATGACAAAATAGCAGGACTAAAACTACATCTGACATAATAAAATCCAAAGAGAAACAGGTCAATTCAGTAAAAATTCAGTCAACTAAGCAGTTAGGTATTTTAATATGTTAAGATTCTAATTACTACAACCATGCACTAATCCACAATTCTATTCTAATTTATGAAAAAAGGAAAATTATTTATTTCAATAATAAAGAAATCCTACACATCCAGCAAGAATTTTTTAACAACTATTGTAAAGACCAAAATTAATTAAGTCTTCTATAATAAGACTGCAGTTTTACCTGGTGGATCCATTTCTATGTAAAACATCAAGTCTGTGCCACAATTTATAT